GAGAACATAATTCTATTGTCATTTGTCATATTAAGAAACGTAAGTCATTCAGTTTAATATTATCATATAACATTATTCTTGTGGACTTGGGTATGGGTAGAAAATTTGAATAAAAATGACGAAAAAAATTAAAAAGATGTATTGGTGCCTAAAGATCTTAAATATGATATAACAGTTATCTTTTTGTTCTCCGCGGATGGCGATGTAATATGAACTTTTTGTTAACCGACTTTAAAAAAGGAGGAGGTTGTCAATTCGACTGTATGTTTTTTTTGTATGTATGTTACGCGATAACTCCAGTATTTATGAACCGATTTTCATGATTCTTTTTTGTGGGAAAGACGGTACCTCCATAGTGGTCCCATTTAGTTTTGAAGAAAATCATCCACCTCTAAGGATGGCTGCTCACGCATGAAGATTCATTTTCATAAATAGCGCCTAAATTTTATTATAAGGAGCAATTATTTTAATGGTTGATTTTGCTATTCCAATTTAAGGCGTTTTTCTCTCAATATACTTTGACTAGTGAGAACCGATTTTTATTATCTCCTGTGTCCAAGTCCCGTATTGCGCACTTTCCGGTAACCGACTTCAATAAAGTTGGTAATTGTATGTAATGCCACGTACTTTTGAGGTCGGTTTTTTTAGTACTCTACACCGTACTCTAAACCGACTGACCGTACTGAGATTATGTAAAGTGTAGTTTTAGATACATTTTCAACGACAAGTCTGTCTGCGTTTCTTTTTGCATGTGGATTAATTTCTATTGATTTATTAAATCATTGTAGATGCTGTTTGGCAAATTTACAAAGTTCATAAATATACATGGAAGGAAAGTCAAAAAATCAAAGTCAAAGACATAATAATTAGTTATATACTTATAAACAAGACGGGGAGAATGTTGTTACGAAACTGTATATAGCATGATGAATTTTATTTCGATTCGGTAACATCTACATTCGCTCTATAAATTGTGTCGTCAATTTTCAACATTCATTATTTCTATATAACCAAATTATCGAAGCATCCACGAGGATTGAGAAGGCTCTACACAGACACTCTCTTACTATACTATTCTGCATTCTTTACAATTGCATATATCTATTAATTGTAAAAAGAAGATATTAATAGAATTGCAACTCTGTTTCCAAACCATACACGAGGCGGTTAACTTCTTGAACCGTATTTTATTACAAATGTTAATCCGGTAGTGCTAAGTTGTTAATCTTACATAAATTTACACATCCAGTCATGGGCGGCTATAGTTAACGTTCTCACTAATTAAATCTGAATAATTCAAACGATGACTAAACGAAGTTTGCGAAGTCTAAATTTGCTGTACCTAGAAAATATTAACTTGTATATTTTAAGAGTTAAAATAAACGTTGCCAGCTAATTTGTTAAATTATTTTTAAAACTAGCAGTGTTAGGTGGTGATGTAAAAACTCGAGTCCAGGAATCTATATTTATTAACTCGACTCAATTTTGCACAGCTCGGTGGCCTAAAATACTCATGAGTCCGAGTCGACTTCTCCACCACAAAGTCGCGAGGACGACAAGCAGGGTTCAATTTTATTGAACATCTATTAATGCTAAGGAATTAAATAAAAAACAAAAACTCAATATGATGATTTATAATACCATAATACTTAATTATATTATAGTAATTATACTACAGCACCGCTCAGTAGGTACTTACCAGACTCGAGCAAGATTCGTTACATAAATAGACTCGAGCACTAATGTCGAGCAGTTAGTCTGTCTTTATGAGTTTTGTGAATTGGAGTCGAGTCCTAAAATGTAGACTCCCGGACTCGAGTCTTTTACAACACCAGTGTTAGGCCAAAACGGTTGCCTTTCAATACAAAGGTCATTGAGAGGTTTTCGATTTTGATTTCTAAGTTACGCGTGTACTTTAGTGGCTCTTTGTAAAAGAGTTTGTCGAGGGAAATACCTTACCTATTTCTGCCGCCAAACGCGCGTACCGCTGCTGGTACCGCTTGGAATGTTCTGTAGGACTGTAATGTAGCTTCCGCAGCCTCCATACAAAGATTTAAAGTTCAAAATTCAAAAGAAAAAAAATAGTAGAAAAAAATCCGTTTTTTCATTGACTTACAAATAAATGGACGACGGGTCTAATATAAAAACCACGAAAAAAATGTCCCAAGTCAACCTATTCGAAATTTAAATTGTAATGTCATCGCAGTATCGCGCTGTCAGTTGAACAAATGAAGAGGAGTTTGGCGCTCTGTATACGATTTTAGCCCCTTACAAGTGCGGACACTTTTTAGCGCGGACCCGACGTCCATATAATTGTAAGTCAATGGTTTTTATAAACATTTTATCAATATAGGAAATGAAACTATTTTTCCGTATTTAAATCGCGTATATTTGTTTTTTCAAACAAACCTTTTTGTTTCAACAAAACTTTTTGTTTCAACAAAACTTTTTGTTTGAAAAAACAAATATACGCGATTTAAATCCGGAAAAATAGTTACATTTCCTATGTGTAACAATCGCGAAAACTTAAGAACTCGATATTTTATCAATATTTATGATCTTTAAAATGTTTATCGCACAAGTTTAAGATTTTTGGTAACTGGTAAACGGTTCAAAAAATTAACGAGAAGACCTGTTCGCGGCCGCGAACAGTGTGGGCAGGGAGTGACGATGGAACGAAACAAATTCAGAATGACGAGGCAAGGGAATTAAAGAAAGATTCATAATTTAAAAATGAGTAGCCAGGAACCAAATAAAGGTTCCTTTGACGATATAAGGAGGTCACATCGTCAAAGCATTCTGAGCATTACAGGCACATGGAACTTGGCGAGTTATGTCTCACGGTGACGAGTGCAGGAGCAGTGTCAGTCAGATCTTTGCAATTTAAATATTTGAGTGGCACTGCAACTGTCATGAATAGACGTGTCATTTACTAGGACTTGTTCGTCTCGTCGATTGATATCATAAAAAAAATATATTTGTGACTTTTTTGTAGTCGAACCTAAACCTAGCTAAACCTAAACGTGTTTACTCACTGCATGCGATTCGTATTCGTTCTGAATCTGAGATATAATATATATCGCACTGCTATTACAATAGTATAGTAACTCGAAATATGTGAATTTCGAGATTATACCATTGTTGGAAGTAAAATTTGATTCTTGACACGTCAATACAACCGTCATTACGCACATTCACTCTAATATGTGTCCACACTTCGCATATCACTTGCACTTTCACACACATCACAAACAATTACACACACATCACATGCACTTTCGCACATATCACACGCACTTCCACACACACCACATGCACTCAATCATCACACACACTCTCACACACTTACAATTAAATTTTTATTATATACTCTTATATACTCTTTTATATACTCTTTTTTCCAATTAAGTATACATGTAACTTGTTAATATAGATTTACAAATATTGATCAGAATTTCTGGAAGTGGAGGCCTGGTGACCTAAAATACAGGGTATCCTAGTTTAGGCTCCAGCCTCTACAAATTTTCCTGTCATGTTTTTTACTTCAATATCTCTTATGTTTACTTAAGTTGTTACAAATTTGTGGAGGAAATAAAGAATTTACTTACTTACTTACTTACATTACAATATTGTGAGAAACAAAGATATCTACTTAACTCAAAATTAGAGAAACTTTCTGAGCTAATGAGCAAAACAGTCCTTACTAAAAAAAATATATATTAAAAAAATACAAAAAATATATAAAAATATACATAATTTCAATAAGAAAGAAGATATCCATTATATTAACCTTAGAGCTAAGTCCAAACTCATGGTACTACGATTTCGTTTAACCAAGGTAAACAACTCTTTTATTATTTATCTCTTATTGTAAAAACGTATACAGTTCCCCGTATACGTTTTTACAATAAGATTCCGGAGCATATATTAAGTTTATCATTTCCTAAGTTTAAAAACTACATTAAAAATATTTTGATCGAAAAATCATATTACAAAATTGAAGAATACGTATTAGATAAAGATGTATGGAAAGACGACACGGCTCCAGAATCCACACAAATTTGATTCAAAGTGTATTCCATAGCATTTAAGTTTATTTTTGAAAAGAGCAATCCCTAGAGTTTCTTGCTCGTTCTTCTCAGCGAGGTCAGCGTAGTGAACGACCAGTAGCTTAAATGTGACATTTTCTAATGTAAATTTATATTACCTATGGAATAAATAATCTTTGAATGAAATTATTTTTCCCCTTTTTATTTTTAAATATATTTGGTAAGTAGGACATTGTTTAGATGTCTGTTATAAAGTTTAACCTATATTTTTAAACTTTGATATTAATTATAATAATGTTTCACGGGAAGTGAGTAATTCGTTTCTGATCGATTCTGAAAAAATACACTTTTTGAGTTAATACTTATATATATCAAATCCAGAACACTCGTACCCAATTCGGATGTCGCTTGTGCACTAAGTCCGATTCAACTCCGAGACAACACGAATATCGCTTTGAATCGACACGAATATCGAAAATGATCCCTGTGACGTTTCGGATCGTATTTTTTTACGAATCGAACGTAGTGCATCGTAAAGGAAAACATCGTGATGAAAATTCCATATCGAAAAAGATTCAGATAGTTCTGAATCTTTTTAGAAAATGTGTGAAGACCCCAACTTCAGGGTCCTAGGATCGTATTCCAGAACTCTACTCAATACTCAAGTCAGGACTTGAGTATTGCAGAGAGCACTGAAAATCATACTCAAGGCCTTGCCATTAGGGTCGTATTTCCAGTGCTTGAAATCATACTCAAGTCTGCTCAAATCCTGACTTGAGCATTGAGTAGAGTTCTGGAATACGACCCTGAGTCTATCAAGTTTAACTAACCTTTTAGCAGGCTAATACTTTTCGTTTTGTTCTTTTTTTTATAAACCTACAATATTGACGCGCTCTTGAATGCACCTTATATTACGGTGCTACATCTAAATCTATTATTTTCGTTTTCCAGCTCACGGAAAGAGATCAGCTAAACCGCCTGCTGCGGCCCCCGATTGGTTCATCGCGAAGCTTCTTCTTAACATGGACTCTAACGGTGAACTGGTGAGAGTGTTTTTTATAAATAAGATACGTTTAGTCACATTTTTAATTCCGGAATTTTAGAGATAAGTATTATCAATTGTATGCGTGTTATTTTCAGGAAATTTTAATAAAAATATAATATATAAATTTTCGATTTCTGATAATAAAAAATAAAGGAGTTTAGTAAATAAAATTTATTCTTTAATTATTAATTCTTCCATCAGAAATAAAGATTCAATTTCAAATGAGTCACAATAACGTAAAATAATTACTACAAAGTATTATTGTTCTACGCAATTATTAGAACGATGCGTACAACTAACTCCATCTACCGATTTGATACCAAAATGTTACTAACAGATAGTAACTTTCAGAACCGCGCTCGCTCACCAAACTTGCATAACGAGGACTCTAACGCCATCTACCAAATGGATCCCCCAGACTACTCGCCAACTGCCGGCCGTTTAGTGTAAGTTTTGTGGAGAAAAAAGGACTTCTTTTTCAGTAGTGCATATAGATGGCGCAACGTCCCCGTCGTAAAATAAAGGGTTCAATTTTATGTTTAAAAACAAAAGAAGTTTCTTAATTCTGCACCCTCCACGAAAAGTTAGCTAAGCCAAAAGTTCGTGTTTTTAAGAAAAACGGATTTCATAAATGTAATTTACTTTTCCTAGAAAAGAATTACAACAGTGTTAATAGTATGGTTTATCAATAATTTCATTAATATTACACATTCTCAGCAGCAAAGAATAAAAGCCAATCGCATTTGTTATCTAACACTTACATTGCATATTTATCTCTTTCAAAAAAATTTAGGTGATTTGTTGATAAAATATGCAATAAACACGCAGAAAAAAGATTATGCAAATTAGTAATAAAAAGAAAACACACGTCAAATGGGTCTATGCTACGAAGGAATATGAAGTACATTGTCCCCGCCTTTATTCTGCCATAGCCCTTAATGGTCGGGAACATATAAAAAATATAATATACAATTAATCATGTAGCACACATACGCGTTAGAATATACTTAAATTATAATCTCAGTACAAAGTACTAAAACAACCGACCTCAAAAGTACGTGGAATTACATATAATTACCAAGTTTCATTGAAATCGATTACCGGAAAGTGCGCAAACCCGGGTTCATCCCCTAGTTCGCCACTATACGGAACTTCACACAGGGGATAATAAAAATCGGTTCTCACTACTCAAAGTATATTGAGAGAAAAACGCCTTGAATTGGAGAATAGCAAAATCAACCATTAAAATAATTGCTCCTTAAATAAAATTTAGGCGCTATTTATAAAAATGAAACTTCATGCGTGAACAGCCATCGTTCGAGGTGGATGATTTTCTTCAAAATTAAATTACCACTATGGAGATACGCTCTTTCCGACAAAAAAAAAGAATCATGAAAATCGGTTCACAAATACCGGAGTTATTATATACGGAGAGTTAGCGTAACTTACATACAAAAAACACATGCAGTCGAATTGAGAACCTACTTCTTTTTTTGAAGTCGTTTAAAAATATGAAATATTATTAAAATTATTGTAAACTAGTATAACAACACACAAGACACGAATTATAAGAAACCTGCAACCCGTGATTGCTCGTCAAATAATTGCATCATGTTAAAATATTATCAAATCGATTTTAATAAATTATTATCTATTAACATTACAAGATATCATAAAAAATAATTATAAGAGCTACAAACAAGAACTGGCAATGTCATTGTGGTCTGTTTTTCGTAGCAGTAGAGCTCCTTGTGAAAGAGTTCGTCCAGGGAAGTACTGCCACCTTACCTATTTCGGCCGCCAAGCAATAATGTCAGCATTACAGTGTTCCGGTTTTGAAGGGTAAGGGTGCTGATGAAATTACAGGTACACGTTACTTGCCAACTTATGTTTCAGGGTGACGGGCGCAGTGGCAATGCCCCTCAGACGTTTGAGATTTAAAGGTCTGAGTGGCACTTTAACTGCAATGGAAAGGCATGCTGTTGGTAAGAGATACCTCTTACAACCAGGCGCACGACTAGTTCGTCCCGTCACTTTGTACCATAAAAAAATATATACAAATCTTTTCTACCTACTGTACGATATATGTATGGTCATATCGTAACAATATGTACAGAATTTTCGTGTGTAATTATTTTATTGTTTTTAGATCTGAACCATATGAGCTGCCATTGGAGCTGACGTACAACAGAAACAGGAACACCGAGGCCAAGCCGATGCTCGACAAAGATTTCTTGTCTAAATTGAAACTATGGCAGATAATGGTAAATAGAAATATATTACAATAAAACTCAAATAAACCTAATTTCAAGGTAAAGTGAAGATTGTAGAAAGTTACTATGGAATATGGTAAATTGGCATTAAATTCCGTTTGATTTTTTTTTGTCGAATTAATTTAACTGCCTCCGCGGCCGAACGGTTACCATACTGGACTACCACGCAGAGGTCTTGGGTTCGATTCCCGGGCCGAGAGAAATATTTATATGACCTACATTTAATTTTATTTCTTTCTTGAGTTTGGGTGTAATTTGTGGTTGTCTACATAGGTGTAAAAGGCACCCGCGATTGAGGGTTTCGCTAGTGCGACGCTATGAGTGTGTGCGTAGAAACCGACTTCAAAAAAAGGAGATTTATTTGTGTATGTTAAGCGATTAGATCTAGATGCACATACGTCGATAACGACGTCCTAAAAAACATTAAAAGTACTAAGAATAAATGGGCCTATATGAAGAGACTGATAAAAAAGGGGAAGGCGAATGAAATTTGTAAAGAGCCTACACCAGTTTTGCCACGCTTGCCTCCCACTGGCGAATCGAATTCGGCCGGATCAAAGGAATTTTTGTCTAAGTGTTCGATCTTTGTATTAATAATTATAACAAACTAGTAGAGTAATTTCACATAAAAAAAATTGAATATCAATTCAATAAAAATTTAAATACAACGAATAGCGACGTCTCTAGCCGGGGCTGGTAGCTAAAGGTAAAGGTATCTAACTGGGAGACGAAATAACATAGATTTCTCATAGATAGCGCTTCGGCTAAAAAGTCGTTGAAAAACCAAATACAGAGATACGACGCAAGCACTTAGATAAATTGTATATGCTGGAAGACGTCGGTCCGGTCGGTTCCAACCGGATCGAAGGATTTTTTTCTAAGTGTTAGATCTTTGTATTAATAATTCTAATTTTTTTTGCTAAATGGAAAAGCCGAAATGTTCTAGTTTTCCATATAACAAATAAAATTTTAAATTTAATTTATAGTTTAAATCGTTTTTCTGTAATATTAGACATATAGACGTTAGACATTTTACCTTTCCAGTGTCGGTATTGGTTAGTGACAGTAACGTAATGAAAAAATAACAACAAAAAGAATAGGTTCGCAATTATCCATTTTCGGAAATAGGACTATTATACTGTTCGACAGTGTTTATGATTCTCTTCATTATCTGAATAAATCTTTGTATGACATATTCTTCTTTAAAATATATCCACTGATTTTTTTTTTCAGAGAGCGGCGTCCCAAGAGTGAATGGAAAATAACATAAATGAATGGACTGATTTATTAAGTTTACCGCGTATTTTCTTCTAAATTTAAGTTCAAATGTTATATAAATTTTATTTATAGTTAATACTCTAATGTTTATGTCAATTGTAAGGCTGGGTTACAATTGGCACTAGGTCTAATATAGTGTTAAGCAAATGTGCCATTTCCTATAAAATATTAAATGTACTAGTTCCAGCTTAAAAATATTGTCTCACAAGAGGTGAAAACTGCAAAAAAGTACTTTAAATGAAATCAAAATCACATTGTTCTATGATAGTATACAATCAATCCGTCAAATTTTAATCATTAAATTACATTCAATTAATTCATTCATTGGAAGACTTTGGAACGAAATCACATTCCGTTTGTTGTTTGATGTGATTTTGTTTCATAAAACTTAAATTTAAAACTGTCCGACACATTGTATAGTTCACTTCTCCACACTAACTGGAAAAATTACTGATGACTTTTAACCCATTCATGGAAAGTAACGGCGTTTACCGTAAATTAAATATCAGAATATGACAGAACGAAGTACCCCGTTTCGCTATATGATTCTGAAAAAACTTACTACGGGAGTGCTATTTCGAAGTATTTTCTGTATAGTTCCCGTCTACTGCTTCTCCATACAGAAGTATCAATAACGTACTGACAAAATTCAATAATTTATACGTACACATGTGTGGACTTTGCATTAAGACAGTACTGTGAACACCGACGTGTTTATATGAGTTAATACAATTACACGTCTGTATCGCGGGTGTAGTGCCACTGAACTTTCTAGCAGCAAAAATAATGTTTTTTAATTTAGTATTGATTCAATATGTCAGAACGGCAATCATTTTACTATTGTCATAGCCAGACACGGTTCGTGGCAGATTTCAGTGGGTTTTTCAGTTTCACTCACCTATTATAAATAAAAAATGAAACCCATCATATTATATTGTTCCATTTTAAACAATACCACAAAACAACACTACGCTTCTCAATATATCTTTTATTTCTCATGTCGCGCCGTAAAGAAATTTCTCTTTCGCACTCATTTCATTCAGTGCCGAACTTTGTAAACAACTTCCGTTTACAGGAGTGCAGCGCGAAGCGCTCCACTTAAGGGTCAGTATGCTATACTATATTAAAGAGAAAGATAAAAATCTAATTGTATGTTTGTCGTTCATTAATAAAAAAAAACACTACGGCTACTAATATAATGTGAAAGCATAATTAGTAATTTTATCTTGGTGGGTTGGATAGGAGTGGGTGTTCACTGCACCAACATACTTAGGACGAGCCGCCTCTGGTCATAGCCGTACTTTCTTTTATACAAGATTGTTGACAGAATCAGCTGTCATTGATAAAGCGTAAATATTATACTGAGAAAACTAGTGTTATTTACGTAGTGTCAATGTACGGGTTAAACAGCTGAGCAGATGCGCATTAACCCGTTCATGAATTGAATATCAGAATTACCGTTTCGAAGTGCTATCTATGTGGTTACTCACCTACTTCTTCTCCATCGAGAAGTATTAACAAAGTACTGATCAAATTCAATGACTTACATTGAACATTTTATATTGAAGCACTACGGCAAGAAAAGTAGTGACACTTTTGTGTGCGGCACTGTCTGTATAAATACTGTTCATGAACGGTTTAATGATACTTGAAAATTCCCCGACACATTGTATAGCTGGAAAAAGATAATCTTTAAACAACTAAGGTATATCTGAAAGCAAAGTTAAAAGCCATACCAATTAAACCAACTTTCAAATAAAAAAAACTATTTTGAGAGTTACAATGTCACAGACCGACATATACACAAAGGCTTTAAACTTTAAATCCCCTTTCTTGCGTTGTCGAATGTTAGAAAGCCTTTAAAAAAAAAGAAGTCGTTGACATCAAATGTCTCTAATTCGGCCATAAGGCTCAATTCACACTGGCGCAGTGTCGAAGCGTTGCGTCGCGTCCTATTTTTCAACTACACCGCCTGGCGACGCGCGACAACACTCGCATTAGTGTGCCGGGATCACAGTGTGGCCGGTCTGACGCCTCACGACGCCCAAGTGACGGGCGAAGCCGCTCGCAATCGTCCCTCGATTCCATATTTGCAAAACACAAATTTGTACCGTAATTATGGGAAAATGACTGACATGAATATGCTGTAGGCGAAAAACATGACGCGTCGCGACGCTTCCACTCTGTGCCAGTGCGAGTTCCTTAGAGTCGACATAACCTCAAATGGCTTTTGGTTGATGCCGCACAACAGCGAAAGTATTAAATCAATAACTTTAAAAAAAATATATAGTAATGTTGAGAATATACAACGGACTAGTATATGGTGTGAAAATACGATTCCTAAAAATTTTCATGATAGAAAAAAAACACAAACTTACCTCGAAATTTTACAAGAAAACCGCTGTATTCAATAGGTATTTTACATGTACCAATGACTTTTTTATATCAACTGAACTAAATAGATCATGTACACATACAATATACATTTTTCGAAATGGCTTTATTTATGTTTGTAAAAAAATAAATTCTGAAATAAATGCCAGTGTCCCTGCTGTTCGACTCGCACATATATCACAACATAGATCATGAAAGATAGGGGGAACCAAAAAAAATTGTAAGAGGTAAGGCCACACGAGCGTGATATTGTGAGTCGCGTTTTTTGAGTCGCTTAATTTACGCTGCATTCGATTTCATATAAAAGTCCAGTTTATGTCACACGTCGATGCAAAATGAGTTGCCTGCCGACTTACTGTGTGACGTTGTGCGGGTGAAGGGAGAGGCGAACAAAGGAAGGTGGGGGAAACATTTGTAGGCATGTGGTAATGCCTTGCACATCTGGATGTACACATAAAGTTTCATATAGTATATGAAACTGCCCACTCTTTAATTTTTTCATATTGGGTGGATGTACCCAGCTTCTTTTTCCAACCTTATCTACTAATCCTCCATAAATTCACACTATGTTTAATTGATTCATTATATGTATAATACAAACACCTCATATAAATGCCACAGATTACTTAATGGGTTCTACGGTACAGGTACATCACTCTCATACAAAATCGAAAACAGCTCCACTATAATAACTTACTAAATCTGACTAATGACACCAGGCGCTCACTACGAAGAAAGGAACATAAGCACGCACTCAGAGAGGTGAAAATAATGTTGCCCGCCAAGTGCAATCATGCGGAACCGAATGCTGGGGTTGTACAAGGCTTGTAATATAAACGAAAGACTTGTTTGAGCGCTTGCACTGTCGACAATACACTCAGATATAGGCATTTAACGCGTAACCTCGACAGAGTGACGGATCCCTGCATACGCTTAGAAGCAATTCTGAAAAAAATACGTTCGTGTGGCGCCCCAATCGAATTTCAATCAAACGTGAAGTATGAGACGCACACTCGTGTTTTTTATATACGTGTCCATATCACTTTCGTAAATATTTATACAATGCATTTTCATAAAAATGAATACAATTAGGATTGTGATTTTATCATAATTATAAATAAAATAAAATAAAATTTGATTGATCTGATTTTCAGTTTTCATTTTGATTTTGACAAACGGTATCGTTTTCAAAAATATAAACACTCAATATAGTTGTAATTTAATGTAAACATGTTAGCGCCCGTTGTTAACTTTTTTGTATGTACTTTGCAAGGTTTGGCGGCAACAACGTCAGTTTTATTCGGTTAAACTGCCCGCAAATTATTTTTGTTGATAATCACAGTGATCGAAACCTACGCTATATCTTTGTGGTGCAGCAAATGAGATAAATCATTACAGTGTTATCGTGATAAATTTTGTAACTGCGGACACAATTTATTTTATAAATATAAATCACAACTCACAAAATTAGGCTCATATGACCTCACCCTAAGTCCACGTCAATCAGTTTGTCAACCGGCCAGCAATTCTTAACAGACTGCCGTCAAAAAACTTCACAACACATCAACTACATCTCCTAAAATTAATTATAAAAAATGTATGTATACGACGTACTATAATCTCTTTGGCTTATTTAATTTTATAACTATGAATTACATTATGTGTACTTAATAAAAATTATACTTATTTACTATAAAATCGCGTAGGAAACTTTACGGTTGTTGTGATTTAAATAACACGTGAAACTGTAAAATATAAAGCAGATTCATTCAATGATTATGTTTTTATTTCCTTATAATGCTAAATAAAAGTTCTAAATGACACTCAAATTAAAATTTAAAAAAACTTCCGATACAAGACAGTGTCCTCCTATATCTTTCTAATTTGTGGTGTACCTACTCCGAAAAGTCTCTCCATCAAGACCCCATCACAATTTAATGAACGCAAATACGATAGTTCTACTGTAGTTGAAGAGTTCATTTGCAGACTGCCCTGTGCAGTTTGCATTATCAGATCAAAGTTACCATATTATTGTAATGTCATAGTGTTTCCGTACAATAACAAATTACAGGTCGATCATGAAAATGGACAAGCAGCGGCCACAGGGGTGCGTTCCCACGGCCCGTGATGTTAAACACGTCGATTTGTACTTCCCCTTCTACATAAGTTTTGATTACAGTGACCCTTCCTACCAACCTTAAGGTACACGAGAAAGGCATTATAATCTGTGCGTGCCCAGGAACCGGGTTAACTAAGTTCAGGTTTTGACCTCATATCAACCATTGTATAGGGTCGTCACAGACCTTTGTCACTGACTTCATCCGGTTCTCAAGTGTCTCGGGTGAGCCGCCCCGGGTGAACGTACAGTACTCTCCCTATTTTCCAGATAGGTACCAGAGCTGTAGACGCTCTCACCACGTAGTTGACACAGCTAAGCCGTTGACTCTAGAGTCCACTACCAAATCTCCTCTTTGATGGTGGAGCTGTAAGGCACGCTCACTTTCCGAGGCCGAGGCGTCATCCAGTTACCAAAAACCTACGCGGCTGTAGGGACCGGAGGATATCTAGTTCACCTTCTACTAACTCTCCGGGCCGGAGATGCCGGTCACTATGTCCTGCGACAATGTTCGCATACAGCTTCCGACGACGGCGCGTTTGCGCAAAACGTGCGGCGCGGGCCGCGACACGGGCCTTAGGCCGTGGGAAACCGCCTTGACGAGGCACCGACGTTGCGTATTTTGACAGTCGATGAAGGTATAAGAAATTATTTTAATCACGAAAAAAAGAATGAATTTGTTACTTTAATCGAGTCAACTTTTAAGATGGATGTACATTATGTGCCTACGCCGAATATGGCGTACATTATAATAATAATTG